TGTTTATAGCTAGTCATTTCAAGCAAAAATAATCAATAAGAAAATATAGCTCTAAATACAGTCTATTAAATTCTTCTTCCTGATAGCATTCTATGGCACAAGATCTTGCTTTTTTCCTAGTATTAACGACAGAATAAAAAAAGAGCAAGACAAAAGTATCTTTTAATACAATATGATTATGCATATTTTTTAGAAGTCACATAACTTAGATCTAAGACTAAGATCACTGAAAGGACTTGAGAACTTCCAGAAGTTTGACATTTTCATTATCTCCAACTATTTAGAAAACTGATTTGGTGAAAGTCCACATCGGCTAGAACACAGTGAAGATGTAGGGCTTTTGAAAATCCCATTCCAAATTCTTGTAGGTTTGTATTACATATAAAAATACATACAAGAATTTTACCAAACCTATAGCACAAATTCCTCGTTTTAAAAATTAGGAAATGCCAGAATTTGTCTGTGTGATTTTAATTTTTCTAATTCCCACATTTTTATACGCATATATAGCTTTTAATATCATGGACACATAATTCATTTTCCTCCAGATCCCCAAATCATCAGTGTCCAGAATACAGAATACACAATGAACACCTAATCAATATTCCTTTTCATCTCTTTTATTCAATATTAATCCCAAACACCATTGATCTTTTGGGAATGAAGCACAATACTTTAATGTAAAGTCTGGAGGAAAGATTTAATTATAAAGCTTTGTGACTGTCTCTTTCTCTTCTCTCCTGTTCCTTTCCCCTCTTCCTTCAGCTCTTGCCTTGGACCCATTTCACCTCCTCTCAGGTCCTCTGTCTGTTCCATTCCAGTGGACCTCTCAGCTGCTGCATTACCCAGTGCCTGACAGCACAAGTCCTCACGCACCAAAACAAAACCATGGCTAAGAGACTCTCTCTTACAGACAGCTCCCTCAACCAGCTTGAGTTTCAGCTGCCAAAGCAGCATGCACACAGGGAAAGGGGTGAAAACACACAGCTGAGGATGGTGCCAGAGCAGGACTTGGGCAACCAAGGGTGACACTGGCTTAAGCTGCCGTTGAACCACACTGTCACACAGGAACTTGCTTTTCCATGGCATGGGGCCACGCCAGTAACCCATGCCTAAAGGGAACATGAACATGCCCTTATGCTGGGGATAGTAGGCTCCATCCACATCAAAACTTCATAAATCTTGCTGAAGTCGCTCTTTGTCCTTCTGTCTTAACACTGACAGTGGCTAGCATAACAGCATGGAGGCAACATGAAACAAGTTTCTGTAGCTTTTTTGAGTGCTTGTTTTTCCTTAAATAAGGCTTAAATGTGTTACAAAGTTCTTGTGCACTCATTAGCCTGCAGTTTCCCTCAGTGGCGATTCCCTGGCTGTACACAAGCTCAGAGATTGGCATGTGGTAACTCAGGCTGAGCTCAAAGAGAAGCATAGGATGAATCTACAAGCTCCTTTGTAGCTACAAGCATTTTTACCTGTTACTCAATACTTAAGAACTACACATCATCTCTTTCAGATTATCTAATAATGTTCTTGGTTTTTATGATTCAGCTTTCTTAAACTTCTGTTACATTATATCTGCATGAGCATATACACAGAAGTCTGCTAAAAAATTTCTGTTCAAACTCCTACCAGCTAAAAAACCATAAAGTCCACTATGGACTGAGCATAAGTAGTACATAAATGGATATATATAGACTTCAGGAATACAGAACAGAATTATCATTAAATACAAGTCAATATATATATAGATGAACATATTTAAATACGTGAATAGTTGCACAACCCACACATCTCCACTAGATTCTACAGAATAGCATAGAATAATGTCCAGGCATAGAGATGATGAATGGGTGCTGTACTTATTTGTCAGTCAGCGGAGCTGTGTGAGGAAGGAACTGGGAGTGTGAATTCGAAACAGGAAGAACAAAGGCAAAGAGAAATTTCAGCTGGTGACAACATGACACTGCTCTATTGACCCAAGCAGAAAAGGGAACAAGTTGTAAATTACTGGAAAAAAGAGTTTTGTAAAACGAAGCCATGTTATATAAGCATTAGTGGGCTTTCCACACCACACAGAGCTTGAAGTATGACTAAACATTAGATTTAAATACAGAGAGTCATGCAACATGTTAGGAAAAAAGTCCTTTACACATAGTTATTTATAGAAACATACACACGATTAGATAAAAAGCGTACAAATACCTGTATCACTAAGCAGGATACTCTGTTGATTCTCATATTAACATTTGCATATGTACATATCATACTTTCAAACTTTTAAAGTTTTTTTTCCTCTGTCTGCTTCTTTAAAACTCATAAAAGCACCTACTGTGATGAAATTCACTTTCAAAACTGCAGCGACTGCTGCGTGCCTAAGCGAGCCATTATTTGCTGGCTCATAATCATCTTTTCTGTGTCTGTTAGAATCACTGATGCATTAATTGCTTATCAAAATTTGAAACAGTTCATGAGTCACTCTGAAGATAAAAGAAATAAATATTAATGAGCCAATTTCAACTGAATTCATGTGCTCTGCCTCTTAAAGCTGAAAGACTGTGTTTATTACATGTCAGAATTAGGTCTTGATACCTAATGTATGGGAAAACATGAAATATACTCAAGCCATACTCAGCAAATCAGAACTGACTGACTAGATCACCTTGTTTCAATGGATCAATGCATAATAGTGTAATTTGACCAAATCACATATCAAAGAAAGAAAGGATTGGTCAATTATAACATAGTGATTAAGTGAAAGATATATCTAAATGCATAGGTCTGACATAATTAAGTGAAAAATGAAACATTTAATTTTTGAAGTTTGGAAGTGATTCTATATAAGATCTTAATACAACAGAAGTAAATGCTTGATCTTTGAACAAACACATGGGCACAAACTAACATTACGTAAGAAATTTTAGTATTCCTTACATCATATGGGAGACGGTGAGAAGGAAGGCATAGAGTTTTCAAGAACATCAAAATAAAGCATTTTATTTTGGATCAATCTGAAATTTTCATTAAGCCAGAACACTGGGTGGAGAACCCTTCACCCATTTGATTTTTTACTAAAATTGAGTAAAATATACTATTTTGGAGAATAAAAAATTTTATTTTGAAAACATGAGCGTGCTGAGACTTTTAAGTCTGGGCCAATGACGGTTCACTGTTGAAAATCCAATCCAAGTCTAAAACTTTTCAAACTAAATGACCCAGGATGAATCAGGAAACAGAAGTCCTTCCCTTGAGCCTTCAGCTTCTTATTCTAGCTTGTTCCTGAAAACTGTAGGCAAAAAGATCCCAAAAAAATCTGAGGAGGAACAGGGAATATCCTTAAAAGGCAACTGTAGCTCTGAAACATACTAGGAATTAGACATCAGTGAGCACTTTTCAGCCAAACTGTTAATGAAAGCCCTTTCAAAAAAAAAATCAGTTTTTCTCAAGGAAGTTCAGCAGCAGAGGATTCTGGATAATGTAGCTGGCTGGTATAAAGCAGATAAAATGGGAAATTCCTAGAAATGGGCAATTTCCCTGTTTTCACTGACTACAGGCAGGATGAAGAATCTGTTTTAATAGACTGTGGATCTTAGTAAGAAATTAAGAATCCTCTGTTTATTGTTTCAGGTCAAGTTGTCTATTGTTAGAGGTCATATCAGCTGCTTAGCCTAAGACGCTGCTTCAACTTCAGCTAGTCACGTAAAGAGGCAGGCTGTGACAGAAGTATTACTGCACTTCAGGTGATGCCACACCACAGTGACACCCAGATACCCTGTTTAGACCTGTGTTTACTGTAAAACTAAAGGCATCTCCCCAGACCAAGACATCCAGTCCAGCATTAAACACAGAATATGTCACTGTCAGTGAAGTCTGCATGTAAGAATACAGAGAAAAACACAATTACAAAAGGTATTGTGGATTAAATATGACACAGGAAGAATTCAAGTTTTGCTACTTACATAACCTTCATAAATTGCAGATATACTATCTTTCTTTCTAATGTGTAGCTAAATACCGTGTATTTTTCCTAACAATACCTTAAAATTCTTCACTTCATACATTCACAGGTAACACAGCTCTCACGTAACTTGCTTTTTCTCTTAAGTATATGTAAGGAAGGACTTAGTTCATGTTGCAAATGAACTGTGCTGCTTTCTCTGAAATCTACAAAATTATGTAAATAATATATGTGGTTACAGGTTCTTTAAGACAGGTCGCTGGTATTTAAAAGAAGAAATGTTTAAATTTATCTTTATGTGCATATAAGATAACAATGAAGCAATTAAACAATTTTCTTCAGTTCATGAAAAACATTTTTTGTGCTCCTAAAAATTACTCCCAGTATGTTGTATAATAAGTTTCCAATATGTAAACAAATATTATTGCTGAGATTTAACACTCTCATTTACACAAATGTCAGGGTATTATTCTATTTTTATAGAATATTTGCAGAATTAGTTTTTCACTGGATAATTTACTTTCCTCAGTAATATTTTAAGCTTCCAAGCTTAATTGCACCTTCCATTGTTCACCCTTGTTGAGCAGAACTTAACAGATGCAGTTGTAAAGTTAAACTTAAAGCTATTCAGTGCATCTACTGAAAATGTTAGCTTCTAAATAAAAAGGGTGAAGGAATAGAAGTTTTCATTGGACTGTGCAACAAAAATTTTCACTCAGTAAAATTTTGAAAAATAGGAAATGGGAGAAGATAAATTCCACACAAGAATTTTTTTTCATTTTGAAAAGCCTTTACTGTAAATGCTGCCAAAATGTTGACTCTGTATTTGATGTTAAACTTGTGAATAGAACACGGGAAATCAGCAGGTCATGTGCATGATTAAATCAAAAACTGGCAGTGCTGCAAAAATGTATTGTCAAATAAAGTTGAACTCAGATACGAACATGTTCGTCACCATAAAAAATGGCCAAACTAATAACAGTTATCAGTGTTACTTTTCTTAGCGTCACGTTTGCACCAAGTGTGGATAAAAACAGCTTCTTACCTTCTCAGATAATTCTGGCCCATTGATACGAGCCTGTACAAGTGCATCGTTAACAAGTGAATGAAAATTTAGAAGTACGTGCTCAATGTCGTATGTTCCACTCATGGCACTTGAGAGCTCCTCCAGGGACTGAATATATCCCCGCCAATGAAGATCCATTTCTGCCATGTTAGCTAAGCAGCCTCGGATGACATTGAGGCAGTAGCCCATACAGGGCTTACTTAAAGTCAGCCCTTGGCAATGGGGACAGTACTGCATTCTCAGTAAAGCTCTGCTGCAGTCTTTAGAGAAATGCAGATGATCTGTTGTATTGATCACTTCAATCCCCAAATTCAGAGCCTGCAAGAAAGTCCGGCTGGTTAACAGTGATCTTCCCATTTCTTCTGTGGCTTTTTTGGGAACATTACCAAAGGGCCTGATGTCTCTTCTCGACATTCGGAGGCACTCCGCATATTCCAGTGAAATGTCAGTCAGACCAGGGTTAATGATGTGGTTGTACGCTACTGGGAACAGAGTGTCAAAAAATCTGTTGACAAATTCCTCTGTGCTAACATCTGGGCCAAATATGAAGAGTCCAACATCTGTGAAAAACTCCTGAACACGTGCAGTAGCCTCAGCAGCCATGCTTCTATATGCATTGCAGAAAAGTGTGCTTGTGTAATTCTCAGCCAGTTTGATAAGCATTTCAAAGGTTTCTGTAATAAAAAAAAAACTTCATTATTTCTAAGGTTTAAAAAATAAGAAATTAAGTGTAAGAACTTAAAACAATTACTTCAGGACATCTTAAATTTATCCTGAATGTATTATTGCACTAGAATTTATGAAGAGACAAACTTATCACAAACTGTGACAATCATATTTTGTATATAGGTAAACACCTTACAAGTAATGTTACAACACAATTAATAATCCGTATATTTTCTTGGCAGGATATAGTAAACACAGTCCAAAAGAATATAAAAGGAAATTGATTGTAAGCTGAGTTATTAAGTTACAAAATACAACAAAGCCCTGCTGTACCTGTCTACATATACACATACATTAGCTCCCTCACTTCACAACCCATTCTGCAAGTTGCAATAGAAAGTTAAATGCTCTCAGCCACTCCACTTCAAGTCATTCCTCTTACTGTTGTAAACGGATGCCAAAAGTAACATTAAACAATTTAAACAACTCTTTCATTCCATTAAAACTTTACTTTTAAGAGATTGAACAGTTTTGTCTTCTTGTCTTCCAAAGGAAGGACATGTACCAAACACATAAGAATGTGCTTTTGAGCAATGCTGTTTAGTCTGGCAATTGCTATGCTCAAGCAAAGTGCTGGAACATGCAGAGTTGCTCACCTTGGGCACTGTGATGGATACACCCACCCTAAGCCTCAAGATCTGCATAACTGGTAAAGCCTGAATGGGTAAACTAACTCTTCATTTCATGTGTTAGGTGGCAATCCTTAAGTACACGGAGTAGTTTTTAATAAGACAGTTAAAGTATGCTGGAGAAGTATTCACTCCTGACTTGATCGAGGATTTGCAGGTAAGGAAAAATGCTCGCTTTCAAAACAGAAGGAGTGTTCACATTGAGGAATTTCCTACTTCTGCCTGAGAAGCCTGCATTTCAGGGAAGGCAAAGGAGCAATACATAGATCAAAAGGAAACTTACCCTAGAGTCGAGAATAAAAATACATAGAAACACTTTAAGTATTAACCCATTTTATCCACTGGATGGTTGTGAGTCAGTAACTTTCATTCCAGCTTTACAAGTACGTACTTATGTATTTATTTTTTCATATTTACTTTTTTAACAGGTCTCTATAAAGTGAGGAAAAGCATGAAGTACAGTTAATACTGTCCAAACAGTACTAAAAATAGGCAGAATCAAATAGTGTCAAAGTATGTCAGGCAATTACTGAAGCAATGTGAAGTGTGCTGTTAAGTCACTGGCTGAAAGGAATAGTAGAAAACTCAGAATAGTTTTAATATAATAAACAAGACTGGCTATCACCTCTTTAATTTATATATCTATGCATAAGAATAAATGTCATATATTCTGAGAAAAAGCTTGTTCAGGTCAGTGAAATGATTCTCACTGACTTCAGCAGGTTTGAAATTGCATGCTTTGTGAAAAGATCACAGAGAAGACATATTAAACTAATCTGTTTTAACTTTCTGTGCGTTCTTTGTTTTCTCCAATAAAAACAAGATACATGCTTATAAATCAGAGTCATTACTTCTATTCCTCTGCTATCTGCTATCTCTATTAATTCTTAGTTTCACATTTCACACCACCCTTAAGACTGGTTTTGATATCTCCCTCTTTTCCATTCCTCTAACATTCACGTAAGTAAGAAAAAAAGTGTTGCCTGCCCATGGTAAAGAGCAGGAAAGTACATCCCATTCGTCTCCCTCCCCCCTCCCCCCCTCCATTACTATGGCACATATATATGTGCATCTCTCCTAAAGTGAATTTCACTACAATCATTCATACATGCCAAGTACCACAGTGATTCAGGAAAGGGTTTGATTTGTTTCAAAAGTCAGACTCCTAAAGTCAGGACCCTGCATGGAGCTAGGCTCCCACCAATGGAGACCTATTCAGTACAGCAAAGCCTCTTCAGTTTATCCCATGGATTGACATGTGGAAGTGCCAGCTGAGTAACTCTGTAGACCACAGCTGCCTGCATTGCCACCAGCTCTGTGACTTTTCTCAACCTCAGCAAGTCATGCCATATGTACCTAAGACACCTGCACTGCACGTCACATTGTGCATATGTGTATGGGAGACTCACATCCTTCTGGAGCAGCAGAGATACAGATCAGATAGGGCATACTAGATTGATCAAGATGTATACTTTAAGGTGACTGAACCGAGGATGAGATCTCCACCAGCTACAACGGCAGTTTGGACACCTAGCTTACATGGAGGCACATATGCATGGACAGCTAAATTATAGCCCTAAATATGTTACTGTACATTATGTCTCATTTTTATTGGAGGGAATGAAGAATTCAAAGAAAGTACAGTCCCACTATGGAGGCTTTATTTAGCTGCCTAAGAGTGTTTAATACCATTTTCAATGGTAGATGCCATTTATCTGCCTGTTTGGAAGAGTATGGGTATCCTGAAGGACCTGTGTCACATCTGCAGGCTTTGTGTTGCACTTAAAATGGTACTAGGTGGCCTAGACAACCGAACTGAAATATAAATACCCAGTTATCACTGACTCAAGAACCCTTCATATAAAAGCTTGGAGCAACCAGAATAACAAAGACAAAAATTTAAGTCAAACTCATTCTTGGTTTAGATGATTTAAAATAATAAAGTGTGAAGAATATTAAAGCCTCCTCTGAAAATGTCTATTTTTGTAACTGTAGGTTCAGCCTTTTACAGAAATTTTGCCAATGCTTCAGATAACCTTTGATAAACTAGGTAATGTTAGTAAAATAATGATGTTATAATAATCTCTTTAGAATGACATGAATAAGGTTTTTATTACTCTTCCCAATTTTTTATTATTACTTTTTCCTAGATGAAAACCATAAAGTATGTGATCTAAAATGCCTGTTACAATCCACTGCTGCAGCATCCTATTACCAAGACCACAAATATTAGATGAAAGAATAAATCATGCTGCACATAGATAATCAATAGGTTTTACAATGTGGTCTAAACAACAGTAAACCTTCAAGATTGAACTACATTGCTCGTGCCCCAGCAACCCACAGATGGATGAGTACAATAATCAACAGCATGAGTTATTGACTATTTGTGCTTTTCTAAACAGCATATTATAATACTGGCCACTTGTGTTTACGATTCTGCATCATTCTGTTTAACAGTCATTTTAAGATTTCTTACAAAATTTCTAAATCAGGTTTATTCTACTGGCACATTTCCTATGTTATAACCCCCAAAGCTATTCCAGAGATTTGTTTTGCTCTCAGACAACTTGAAGAATGACAGACAGCAAAGCGGACCTATGTTTACTTTCAATATTGAACAGCTCCTGTGAACACCCAGCAATGGCAATCACAACACTTTCAGAGACTTCAATGACAAATCAAGTTATGCTGGTTCACTACTGCAAGCATATCATAGATTTAACAATGTATTTCTTTGTCTTTTAAGTCTATGGGCCCAGACTAATATCATCAGTCTTAATCATTCAGCCACATAAAAGAAGCGGTGAGTTTTCAATCAGTTTAAATCCAATATATAAGACAGTTTAAGTATAACCAAGATGAGCCAGACAAGCTCATTTTACTGTTATTAAATTATTTTTTAATCTGCAGGCTCAGTGCCTCACCTCCATCCTTTACGAGATCTTTGTAGCAACCGCTATACAATATCCTACAGATACCTTGTGCAGCACAACTGTGAATAAAGTCTAGCATGTACCATGGGTGGTGACATGTCAACTTTATTTTTCTTCAGCTACACTTCAAATTATGATTTGCACACTCCTAAGTAAAAAAATCAGGGCTGTCAATATATCATCCCATTAATTTTTTTCAAAGAACAGTAATAACTCTCTTCCTGGTTTTGCTAAGAAGGAACAAAACACACCGCTAAGAAAAAAAATGTGGATGAGGACTTGTTTGTTTTATGCATTGCATTTATTCAGCTGATTCTTTGTATCAGTATATATATATATACATTCTTTTTTGATAATAGTGTATTTAACAAAGTAATCACAAAGTGACATAAAATAATTATCAGGTCATTGCTTTAAAAGATATGCAATCTTTCATTCACTTTCTTTAACTTTTCTGTTCCTGAGAACCACCAGAGCTTCTAAATTGTAATGATATCACAAAGTAGTAGTCAGTCTAGTGGTTCACTGGCTTTAAAAGACAACACAAAAGTATACAAATGCCTTGTTTACTAGAACAACTAACAAAGAGAATAAAAAATAAATCTTGTGTTTTATCCCTGGACATTAATCAGATTTAATGGAAGTACTGCACAAAATGAAATTGAATTTAGATTGGATTTTAAACCAACCCTGCAATTCTCAACCTCCACAGTTTTGGGAAAGTGTCTTTCTACTACAGGTACCTTAGAATATTAATTTAAAACAAATTTCTATAGAATCATGTTGTTATAAAGCAACCGCATTTTCTTAAGTTTACCCTTTCTTCACATGGATAGATGTTCTATACAAGCTGCTAAATGAGAAAATGAATGGACTAAATCCTGAGTATTACCTTTTGAAATGCCCATAGTACTTAACACAAAGTTAGTCTCATAAATTCAAAATCTGGTATTAGTAGTGGGCCAACAAGTTATGAAGTCTTATAATTCAGCAGTAATTCACCAGCCTACATCAAATATTATAAATTCAGTCACGCTTAGGCATGGTAACATATAGAACTCCATAAATTATAACCAGACAGGTTAAAACCCATTCTTGAACTACAGACATAGTATTTAGTATGAATGCCTTTCACAGTCCAGAGGGGGCGCAAAACTGATGAGCCTGGATTAACTTAAATATCAGCCCATAATATACAGGAATCCAGATAACTAAATCCAGGCAAAAGCTGAAAAACCTAATAGTATCATGAATGTATTACGACTTGAAAAGTCCTATGGCAAAGTATTAGCCTGTGGCCAGTTGCCATTCATGTTCAGTGGTCTCATGTTTTCCTTATGTTTATGGGCAGCACAAATAATCCAGAAGCATCAAACTCTCTCT